AACACTTCAACTGTGGTACTCTGCTATGCTATGTGCTGAGAATGAGAATCAGTCTATTGTTGCAAGTGAAGTGGGGTTAGGGTTCATCAAAACAACCAGAACGTGGTTTGAGTAATTTTAACCACCATGATAGCCGTTTCGAGATAGTGCAGCTTTACTACGCAGCAATTCGTACTTGGAGGGTCTGTATGATGTAGTTCTATGAACTTTTTGTTGCTAATTTCTTTTCCTACACTATTTTCAGCAGATGTTTGGGAGATTTTGCCAAATCAATGTTGAACTGTACATGCTTCTTCCATCTCTTTCTTTTTTATGAAAAAAAGAGTTGATTACAAATGTTCAAACTTTTAACAGATTGTTTGAACTTTGTTGATACTTCAGTTACAGTCAACACCCCTAGTTTGATGTAGTTTTAACAGATTGGTTGGCCCAATTGTAGACACAATATCATAACTATTATGTACGACGAGTTTGTAAAAAACAATAACATAGTACTATCTACTGCAAGTTTTGTCTCTACACACCAATTTAAAAAGATTTCTATGGCGTGACAGTATTAGATATGATGCTATGATAATGCATTTAGATTAGCTAATAAGTATAGCTTTAGTAATCAGTAGTAATTAATTAAACCAAGCAATGAAAAGTAGAAAAAATATGGAGAGACAAGAAATGGCAAAGAGACTAGATACGGTCTAGCTTGAATGTTTTAAGGATTCAAAGTGCGTAGGCAAATTTCGAATCCAATATGGCTAATAACTATTGCATTGAAAAAAATATACTTAAACTACTCACGGCTTTAGAGAAAACTATATATAAATACCTGTGGAACTTTAAGATTACTTGTTAGTGGATACTTCGTGGCCTAATCAGGGAGCGGATGCCCACGCCTGCTGTCCATCCGTTTTCATAATGGATGCAGGTCACTCAATAATGACACCCACAGGCTGCCTATGGATGTAGCTCCGTGCTCCACTCCGTCTCGTGCTCCGCGCCTGCTGCCTGCCAATGGATGCAGCTTCGTGCTCTACTTCGTCTCGTGCTCCACGCCTGCTGCTCGCTCATGGATGCAGCTTCGTGCTCCGCGCCAGTTGCCAAGACCATGGATATTGTGCTCCGCGCCTGCTGCCGCGCCCGCTTCACTTCCCATGCGCACGCGGGTACCGCTGCGGCCGAGGGGACCACCTTCGCCTGCGCCCCCTTGCCGCGCTTGCTCATGAAACACTTGCAACATAAAGCATTTGTTGCAACATACGTCTGAAACAAATAAAATATTTTAAACATACGTTTGCAACATATGTGTATGGGCACTACAACATATGCAACATCCAGATAAAACACTTGTAACATTCGTTTGAAACAGCTGAAACATTTGAAACATACACTTGCAACATACGTGTATAGCCAGTGCAACAAATGCAACATCCAGATAAAACACTTGCAACATACGTTTGAAACAACTGAAACATACACTTGCAATATACGTGTATAGTCATTGCAACATATGCAACTCTAGATCTACTTTTGTAACATCTAGATGAAACATATGCAACATACATTCGAAACGCATGAAACATACAGTTGCAACATGTGCTCATCTACTTGCTACCCCCAATGGACGCTTGTTGACATGGAGCTTGATGCCACAGCGCGGAGGTCGGATATCGGACGTGAGCAACACGAGTTCGGGCAGGAGGCGCGAGGTGCGGCGGAGCGTAGCGTGAGGCGAGAGCAGCACGAGGCATGAGACGCGAGTGGGGTGCGAGGCACGAGGCGCGGGGGCAGGCGGGTCCGTCCCGTCTGGACGGGCGGACGCTCGGTAGAGAGCATTACTGTTTTAAAGATGCAGCATGTTTTATGTCATGGTATAACTTATACATATAAAAGTTAGTTAGTATATACTCCCTCTGTTCTATATTGTAAGATGTTTTGGCTTTTTCTATACTAGTGGCCATGCACGTGCAGCACGCACGTGTCTATGTTAAGACATACTCATATCTAAACGTGTGATGGAAGTTGCTCCTATGGTACTACGGACCAAACATTATATATATACATTGACATGTTCGATACAAGTTTCTTATATAGCAAAGATATGTTCTGAAGTCAATTCTTAATTTTTTTTCAGAGCAATATTATTATCAGTTAAGAACCCTTTCTGTTGCTTTTTTATTGTTCTTATTTAATTATATTGCTTTTGGGCCAACACATGGTCAAAGTCTGCAATTACTGTCTTCAGTTATTCTCATTTGAACCAGACTGGCAACTTTTGATTAAGACTATAAAAGATTATTAGGTTACAGTAGTTCAATGAGTACAAATATTCTTATCTATGACTATTATGTTGAAGGTTCAATGCTGACCTTTATCTTCTCATCGCTGCTAAATCCATCAAGCTGGTTCAGCAATTCTAACATTGTCCTTTGCACTTCTCTATCACCACGAACTTCACTGTAGAATGAAACAAAAAAAAGATACAAATTAATTGACTGCAGACAAATAATTTATAGTTACACACACTTTCAAAAGCACACTTGTGTTTATAAGTCAACAGTAAAAAAAGCACACAACGTTTATGATAGCAAGTTAGCAAAAGTTGGGGAAATCGGATTTAGAAAATACAACTGCCAACATCCCTTAATGATAATGTAAGGAAAATTTTATCACACCAGATATCAACAAGATTCAATCACTAATCTAATTTAGCCTTTTTTTCAAGCAAAACATTATACCGAGCACTCGCTATATATATCTTGAATATTAAAAGGATACTGTCAAGTCAATCTAGTACACTAAAAACAATTCACACAGATATTAAAGATTATTTAATTCAAAGTAAACTAAAGATTCCATCACATTTGCCCAAGCCAGCCTTAGTAGTATTGTTCTTCTCTGCAAGATACCTGACTAATGGCAAGTTGGAAGGGGTTTCCAGTAAACCATTGGTTGGGAGGCATAAAGAATGGTATTTTTAGCTCCAAACTTCTTCAGCATGGCAATCCGGTCAGAAAGCAACTCTCCTGCAGTGACAGTAGTACGAAATTAACTTTTAGCTGTACAGTTGAAAGTGAAAGAACAATGTAAGAAGTCCTATCCTAACCTTCTGTTTTTGCAGGGTATAAATCCTTGAAACCACCACTGCAGAGGACAATTAGATCACTCTGTCCACTTGGATTGTTTCTCATCCGTGACGTCACTAAGTCCTTGAATGTAAATGTTGTCAATATACAAACAGACATAGCATAGAAGAACTGAAAAATTATATAATAACTTACATGGATAGAATCCATGCCATGATGTTTATTCAGATCTTGACCAGTTACAGTGCATGTGTCTGTGTAAGAGATACGATTTCTTTCAAAGCCATTGTTACAATTCTCAGCAAAGCCAGACAGCAATGAATTTTCCAATTTGTCATCATCTGATGTGGAAACATAGGGGCATGCGATGGAAAACTCTAAACTTTTGAAGGAGAGCTGGTGGGCGTAACGATTATAAGCAATTAGAAATTTGATGCTTCAGTTAAACAATAACTGAGGAAAATAAGAGTGCTAATGGTTACCTTCAGTGTATTTGCTAGCGCTGGATCAACCTATGCATCTTTAGACATGTCTGACGAATGTAGCTGGGGGGGGGGGGACAAGTCGATGGTCAGTGAAAACGGAAACCATGACTGTCTTAGTGATAACCTCACCATATATAGATTAAAAGGTGGAGAATTTGCTAGTTTTATGGCTCCACGGAATAAATATCGACTTTTAATTTTCGAATCTATGCACAGGCACGGCTTCAGTTATTTTTTTAATTCAACTGTACTGCACAAGATTGTTTCAAGCCAGTAAAATATAGATGAGTATAAAATAAGTACCTTTGAGCCAAGAAAAACAATTGCAACATCAACACATTCTTCTGAGCATCCTCCGCTGAACACTAATAATAAAATCACGACATCAGGATTCAGGGAACTGAAGTTTCACCAATGGGGATAATTACCATTAAGTTTGACCAGCTACCTTCCGCAGGAACAGATTTAGCTAAACCTTTTGGCGACACTGTCTGATAGTGGACCACTTCTTTAACATCATCAGAATGGAATCTGGATGATAAAGATCAACAGAATGATAATGTCATGGTCTTAGCAGTCGTGGATAGGAACTTGTGGAGGCTAAAGCTAAATAGGACTTTGCAGCTTCCTGGCCGGCAACATCTCTCCCGCCAACATGCATATAGCAATGCAAGAACATACCTGTAATGGAGCAGACGTAGCAGATCAGGCACGGTTAGCGTGTACTGCGACGCTTCGATGAGTTCGGCGGTTGGCGTCACCTGGACGTGCTCCGACTTCTCGACGAGATAGGCGGCGACTTGGTGTAGGGCAGAAACACGTGCGTGATGAGGCAGGTAAAAGCAATCTAATCTAATAAATAGTACCGAGGCAGGACCTAAGATTCCCGATAAATAAAAAACAATCTAATGTAGCGACGTTTTTTTTTTTGAGAAATAACCTGGAGGTGTGCGTGCGTGCGAAGGTGTTGCCACCGGTGGGGCGGGTAGGAAACTCTCGGTGAAAAAATAAATAGACGTGGGAAGCCGAGCAGAGAGAAACATGTGGGTCTACTTGTTAGATTATGGTGGAAATTTTAAATACGTTGAATCTAATTTTAACGTAAATCTAAGGGACAAAAATTAAGGTGGGTAGAAAATATTAAGGTGAGAGACTATTTTTAATTCATTAGCTCTTTTATAGTATAGATAGATTCATTATTTTGATATGCATTTAGATGGCAAAAGGTACGTATATAGAAACTAGTGTCTTATAATGTTTCAAATGGTGGTCCATTTCATTTCGTTTTTCTTTTTATACCACTAAAAGTAATACTGTAATAAGTATCAAGTACAGGGGGTTGACTGCGAATTTTGATAATGCGTCAGCTAGTGAATTTCGTGACAGCTAGCATCTTTGCCGGCCGAGGACTGGTGGAGCATTAAAAACTCAGGCGATGCCGCGGGGCGATCGGATATGGAAGCTGCAGCGAAGACGACGCCCCTCCAACTCGCCGCATTGCGTAGCGGCGGTAGTCCCAAGATCTGCTCTGCGCAAGGCGCCCTTCAGGCTCTCAGGAAACTTGGTGCCGTCAACGATTCACAGCTTCCGCCTTTCTTTGGCGGCATCGCCCAAGCTCAAGGTTCGGGTGGGCGGGCGAGCACTGCTGCTGCCTTCAAGATCTCTGAAGGTGTGAAAATGCATCTTTTTTATGCTATTGAGCCTTGTAGTCCATCTAATTTGTTCCGGGAATTCTGGGTTGCGAGTACCCTGTTGGTCTGCTGCAGTATTTGCGAGTACACTGTTGCAGTATTAGATGGTAGCATCCTGGCAAACTGCCCAAGAGGTGCAGTATTTGATGCGACCTTGTTTTATGTTGGATCTAATTTGTTGTTTAATTGAGGGTTCTGACTTTCTGAGTGCAATGTTGTGTGTTTAGTAGCATCCTGGAGAGAGCTCAGTAGCAATTGAGGTGCATTCATGATTCATGTTGTTGGGTGGTTTGGGCCATTTTGTATTGTACGAGCCCAAGAGGTAGGCAGGATCATGCAAGTTGTTGGATAATCCAAAGGAAGGAATGCTTGGAGGGTGTGGTAGATTCAGGAAACATGTCTTCAGATGTGCTATTATGATAACACAGTTTTTTCAGCCATTGTCAAAATAAGTTATTGTGCATATTAAGTGCTAGGGACAAATGAACAATGATGTACTACTATTCGGAAGTCTGCATTATTTATTGAAACCCACCAGCACAGCCAAAGAGGAACATTGACTTGTTCCTTTCTTCTGTACATTAGGGCACGGCAATGGACCAATGGTATAAGACAAGTTACTAGCTCTAAGCCAACCTCTCCAATAGTACTAGCTTTTTGCAATGGCTCATAGTATGATTAGGCCCGCATGACACTCTCACATGATCTTGGAATGTGTGTATGAGCGTAGCTCTTGATCAAGAGCTAGTTTTTCTCTCTCTTCTATTAAAATATGAAAAAAAATGCATAGAGCTAGCTTATGAGTCAGCCAGTGCGGGTGCCCTAAGAGGCTAAGAGCACTCTAACAATAATGTGGTGGGGCCACAGTGGACATCTGCCATTATCTTCACAAACTCCCTTTTTAAAAAGATTTGAGGTAAAATAACAAATAAGGAAATAATTTTTGAGTCAAACTTTTTTTGGGGGGCCTCCAGCAAGTTGTAGCATGGAAAATGTATTTAGCTTTTATGTCTTCTGAACATGAATCATTATAGAGATCCCTTGCTTCAAAAATATGTACAGATCGCAAATCATAACATTATAGTTTGGTTGTTAACAACATTTGGTAAAGCTATGCATGGTTCTCAATGATGGTGCACGGCAAGAGGGGATGCCATTTTTATTTTTCTAACATGACAAGTTTGGTTCCTTGCAGAGAAGATAGTATTTGAACACTTCCAAGTGAGTTACGATGGAGATGATTCTATCTGAGTTCACAAAACAAGTTATCATCTCACTTGGCAATTTAGCCAGTAATGAAATAGCCAAAGTTTTGTGCGTCAGAAATGAGATTAGCAAACTGTCGAGAAAACTTGAGAGTATGAGAGCTATCATTACAGATGCAGAGCAGACAGTCGTGCAAAATGAAACTACTAGGGATTGGCTGAAGAGGTCTCGAGAAATTGTTTATGAGGCAGAAAACATAATTGACCGATGTAGGATTGAAAAGGAGAGATTCCAAACATCACAACCACAGGTCAGGAAATGTCTTGAATCTTCCTTGATTTTACTTTACATTACATTATAGTTTTGTTATTTAGTGTTCACTTAGTAGTCTTGACTCCCAAGAGGCCGAGACAAAAAAAGTTTCGCTAAAGTCCAATGCTTGTCCATATACTGTAACTGAATCTCCTTTGCTTTGAGAGTTCACCTAGTGGTTATGGCCATCCTCTGTCATCTTCACATATTTGTAGAGCCTCAGATCAGAGATGTGGCTGAGGCTAGGTGATATCCTTCAAAAGATATCAATCCTGAAAGGAATTTTCCAATCAGCCACAACAACATGTGGAAAGTTGAAACAACAGATGATATTTATCATCCGTTTTTCTTTTTGCAGACAGCACAATGTAGTGATTATTCTGGCTGCTAAGTTTTTCGAAATTCTCTCAAGTCTACAAATGTTCGCAAGTTTCATAGCATGCTAAGTGGATCACTGTGTCATTGGTTCATTACATGCTTGTGTGCTTAGAACATAAACTGGGTACTGGCTAGGAATTTAAGAAGGATTGCTTGAGCTGTTCCAAGCATCATACACTACAAGCCAACTGTATTCCCTCTGTTTAAAATACAAGGCATATATTTTTGGAAAGAGTTAGATTTTGCATTTTCTGATCAGCACTTTGTCAAAATTACACAACTAGGTTCATATTTTTTATTAAAAAATCACATTCTATTGGGTTTAGATTAATATTTGATTTATTCTATGAGCAAACAGTTTAACAATAAAGACTGAGCCTAGGCGAGCAGTGTTTATTTGAGTGAGGTGCGGTGTTAGTGTGGTGTTGTTTGGGTTTCATACCCTTTTCTTCTTCTTAATATAATGATACATAGATCTCCTGCGTGTTTGAGAAAAAAAAAACGCGCCTTGTATTCCTTTTTTTAACTCGAACACGCAGGAGAGCTACGTATCATTTCATTAAGAAGAGAGAAAATGCATGAGCCCTCGGGAGCAAGAAACCCCATCTCTACAAAGACCCAACACACACTGACCCACACACCAAAAAACACTCTAAACACACACACAAATAATAGACCGGGAAAAAAAAAACAGGCGACCAGAAGAACTACCCATGGATGGGGCGACCAGAAGAACTACCCATGGATGGGGACTATCTGCTGAAAACGACCTAACCACCCATTCCTGCAGCCCTTTAGCTCCAGCAGAACACCACAAAACGCACTAGTTTGCAATAGCTTGCAAAACAACCAGGACCCTCGGTCTGGTACCATTGAAGACAGTCATTTCGGTGTTTCCAAATTTCCCAAGCCACTAAGATGATGAGTGGGTTCAGCCCTTTCCTAAGTTGCTTTGGTGCCAGGGGTCAGGAGCGGATCTAGACAAAAGAACCATTGGTGATCTCTATTGTGGCACAGTGTCATCTAATCATTTGAGCACTATTAAACATATATTTCAAGGGAGATCTCCAAAAGCCATTGGTGTCAAAGGACACGACAAGAACGGGCAAGATCTGCCACGTTTTGGTACTGTTTTGCTTGCGCGACACCACCAGCTAGAGAGACGCCTATCGCTGGGCTGTGGGGCAATGGGAAGCAAATCAAGTTTCTGGAGGATGGAGGTCCAGATTTCATGGGCAAAAACGCAAGATGTTAAGCTATACCGAACTGTCTCTTTGTCTTGGTCACAAAATATGCCTTGTATTCTTGAAGGAGGGAGTACTTGACTTTACTGTAGGCCAAGTAAATAAGACAATATTTGAATATTTGATTAATCCAAGACTAATATTATCTTTACATCGTAGACATATATTGGCATGCCTTTTAGTTAGCAAAATCTGCTTTCATGGGCACCTATTGTCAATACGCTGGTAAGTTAGAAAAAAACTTACTATACTACAAGTCAGTGTCATACGAACTGTGGAAATCTTTAGTACCTTTAATGTGCTTTTCATGAATAGTAATGAACTTTGCTGATTCATTGATAAACAATGAATTTCTAGACGTTCATTTATCAAATGCATTCACATATTTCAAAGAAATTTGGCTATCCTGGTTAGGAATTAAATTGTTTCCTTTCTGTATAGGAATGCAATCCTTCATCAGTCTTTAAGTGCTGCAGAGATGTTGGTATTGACTACAGAGTCGCAAGTGATATACATGAATTGAATCAGAAACTTGACAGGATTATTGAAGAGGGTGAGAGGCTGCATGTAGAGCCAGTGATGGAGGATCAAATAAAATTAGATCAAATAAGATCAGATCTTGACTTTGCTCCAGATCTAGAGCCTGATATTGTGGGCAGAGAGGTGGAAAATGACTGTGACAGTCTCATTGAACTACTAATAAAGAGAGATGATATTCCTAGTCATCCTACTCGTCCTTCGTTTGCTATTATAGGAACAATTGGAGTTGGCAAAACTACTCTTGCTAGAAAGGTATACCGCAAGACTGAAACGTTCTTTGAGCCTAGGGTATGGGTTCATGTCTCCAAAGACTTGCGGCATATGACAATGTGGTCAGGTGAGAGATTCAGTAAAGGAGAGACTGCAGGACAACAGGCACTGCTGCGCACATGGTTACAAGGTAACAAGTTCCTGCTGGTCATTGATGATGTCTGGGGAGAGAATGTTTGGGATGGGCTGCTAGAGATACAAGCACAGCATGGCAGCCCTGGCAGCAGAGTCCTTATAACAACCCGGAATGAGCGTGTTGCGAGGAGGATGGGAGCAGTTCATCTTCACCATGTGAAGGGTCTGAATGAGGATGATGGTTGGTGGCTACTCAGTACAAGGGCCTTCCTTGATGAGAACACTGGAAACATGCAAGATATTGGTAGGCTTAATTGTGCAAAAGTGCAGTGGCCTTCCAATGGCAATAAGGAGAATTGGATGCCATCTAAGGGAAGTGGACCTTAAAGAAGATGACTGGGAGAGAATCTACTCCAGTGATTTCTGTGGCCTTTCTTCGAGGATAAGAAATGCTATCAATTCGAGCTACCTTGAGTTGCCATATTATCTGAAGAGGTGCTTTCTTTATTGCTCGTTATATCCAGAGGGGTCTGTGATTGATCGGCAGTGTATCACTCAGCAGTGGATTGCGGAGGGGTTTATTGTGACCCAGCAGAACACAGCTGTTGAAGAGGAAGCTAAAAGATGCTATGAGGAATTGTTAGGTAGGGGCCTTCTTTTGCCAGAAAATCAAACTTATGGTGCAGAAAGATCGAAGATGCCTCATCTCTTCAGATCATTTGCACTTCTCCAGTCACAAGATGAATACTTTATTGGCAATCCTCAAGACATAGGTGATGCTTTGAGACCATGCCGCTTAACTATTACAACTGGAGGTGCAGAAGCGATCAGAAACGGTATTAGAAAGTTAAAGAGCTTGAGGACAATAATCCTGTGTGGGAGTCCACTAAATGACAGGATCCTGGGTGATATTTTTCAGAAGTTCACACATCTAAGAGTTCTAGATCTAGGAGATACACAGATTGAGTGTGTCGCTAGGAGTTTGGGATCCATGATGCACCTTAGATATCTTAGCTTTGCAAACACCCAAGTTAGAGAGATTCCATCTGCCATTGAGAATCTTAGGATGCTGCAGTTCTTAATTCTCAAAAATTGCACTCTTCTGAATGCTCTCCGGAATCTCTTGGCGCTTTACAAACTTGAGAACACTTGACATCTCAGGAGCTGCACTAAATCAAGTGAAATTCGGATTCTCCATGATGAAAGAACTCAAATGCCTACAGGGTTTTCTTGTAAGCCCAAGAGGTTCAGAAAATAGAAATGGTTGGCCATTTCAAGAGCTGAGGTCCTTATATAAGCTGACAAGCCTCAAAATTCTTAGGCTAGAGAGAATATTAACTGTGGAAGATGCAGCACAATCAGCACTGGAGGAAAGACAACATCTCAAAGAGCTAGAGCTATGCAGCAGCACTGACGATGGAACAACAGAAATTAGTAGAGCAGCACAAATTAAAGATGTGTTTGAAGCACTCAAGCCAGGACCTTCTATTGTCTCTCTCAAGCTAGAAAACTATTATGGCCATGGATTCCCATCTTGGTTAGACCCGTTCCATCTCCGAGAACTCTCACGGTTGACCCTTCATGGCTGTTTGCATTGCCAATATCTCCCATCTCTGGGTCAGATGAAAAATTTAAAATTCCTAGCAATAAATGGTTCCAATTTGTCAACTCGTATTGGCCATGAAATTCGTGGAACACCAGATGATGGGGTGGCATTTCCAAAGCTGGAGCAGCTGGTTATCAGCAAGATGAGCAACTTGAAGTCATGGAAGGGCCTCGAAAAAAGAGATATGCCTTCGCTCATGAATTTCAGGATCTGTGGATGCCCCAAGCTGGATTCACTTCCTTCCTGGCTCAAGCATTGTATGGCATTGAGAAGCTTGCATATAGATCGTGCTGATAACCTGGAAGCAATTGAGAACATACCTGCACTTAAAGAACTTGAAGTTTGTGAGAACAACAAGCTGAAGGTGATCTCGAACCTTGGAAAACTTGAAAATTTGAAAGTAGTGGCTTGCTTGCTTTTGGATGTTGTGCAGGATGTCCCCTTATTGCGCACCGTGCATTCAAATGAAAAGAATTCAATCAAACTTCCACAGTGGCTACAGCCAGAAAAACCTTTCATGCTCAGGAGATTGGAGATCGTTGGAACTGAGGAGCTACTTGATAGCTGCTCCTCTGCAACTGCCCCATACTGGCCTGTCATCCAAAACGCTGATCATGTATATGCGAATCTGCCAGATGGTTCCTTCTACTTCTCTTATGCCAAAAGCAGTAGCTACTTCCATAAAAGCGCAAGGAACCTTGCGCGGTCCTCTTTACAGAGCTCAGCTAGCTTCAGTGTGCCAATTCTTCCACAAGCTGAACTTGTTTCGACTGATGAAATCAGAAACATCAATGAGCCAACTGGTCAATCCTCAAGTCGGTCATGGATGAGGATGCTTTTCACGGTTCTCCTCTTTGTTGCTGCCCATATATTTTCATTGTCAAGCGAATATTGATCACGGATGAGTTCTGTGTTTGGGCACCCTAAGTGTTGATTACTATGCTATTGCCGTTCTGAATTCTGATGTGCCTTATTTGTTGGATCACAAAATTCATTTAGTACATCTTCCTTGAACTATTTTATATTATTCTGTATATTCATCAATGCTTAAGTGAGTTATGTAATCATCGTATTGGACTTATAAATAATTATGCTCCGCAAAAATGTGGTTGCCACTTCTTGAAATCTTCCGAGTCCTTTTTTTTGAAAAATTGGCAGGAGCTCTGCCCTTCAATTAAGATTGGGAATAGAAAAGGTGTTTATATACAATTAGAGACAAACAGCCCATCCGGGGCAGCAGCGAAATGGAACACACAGCAATAAATAGCCCCCTCGAAACGCTCTCCTTCTTTGCTCTATGTTATCTTTAATTCTCGCGGCCACCTGCATCACCGTTTCATACATGTTGTTAAAGAGAACGACCCCTCAAATATTAGGCAGTGGTGGGAGAATGCCTCAAGCAAAGTGCCTTGCACGGAACAAAGATGGTTCAATAGCATGGTCATTTATATCTTCTGGAACCTCTAGAAAGAGAGGAACAGAAGAATCTTTAACAACACATATGAAACGGTGATGCAGGTGGCCGCGAGAATTAAAGACGACATAGAGCAAAGAAGGAGAGCGTTTCGATAGGGGGCTATTTATTGCTGTGTTCCATTTTTTTTGAAAGAAATATACTGCAGGGGAGGCCCCACTGTGAATTTTATTAAAACCAAAAAGAGAAACAACACTGTACAGAGGCAACACAGCAAGGGAAGGAGGGGCTACACAATAAGCAGGCCCTAGGAAGGCAGAAGAACTAGGTTAGAGGGACTATACAGGAAAGGAACTCTAGACGCTTTACAACATTGAACCTATGAGCTTGAAGCCTAGCTTCTTCACAGAAGGAGTTCTTCCAAGAGATAAAAGAAGGCCGACCCTATCAAAGATGAAGTTGTTTCTCTATTTTCAAATTTGCCATGCCGCAATGGTGAAGAACTCCATGAAAAAGGGATTCTGAGATTGAGTTTTAGCCTGCTGCATCATCTCGAAAAATTCTCTTGTGAAATCCCAATTAATTCCAAGGTGCTGCCAACAAGTTTGGCTAAAGGGACAGCTGAAGAAAAGATGGAAAGCAGTTTCTTCAATGTTGTTGCTGCAGAGGACACAGTTATAGTTATTTCCTTCAAGCTTTTGCTTTTTTCTTTTCAAAATATTTCTTGTATTCAATCTGTCCATGAAGAGCAGCCATGAAAAGACTATGAGCTTGTTGCAACACTTGGAATTCCAAATCCAGAGGAAGAGAGCTGGTGGCTGTATATTCTTATAGGGAAAGTTATAAATTTTTGAGGAAGAATACACTCTGCTTCCCCATATGTAGTTTTTTTTTTGAAACAATGGCAGGAGCTCTGCCTTTCAATTAAGACGAATAAAGTTTATATACAAGCAAAAGGTAGCCAAGCGTGGCGCCAAACTCCACGAAAGGTTACCCACCCACGCAACGCGACAGAGTACACACTACCATGAGTCATCGTTGCCGAGCATAGTTGCAAAGCAGCTAGCAGCTCTGACTTCTCATGGCAAAACACCGATAACCCATCATAAGATGTCAGACCAACGGGCCCGAAGCAGTAGGCTGCAGCAGGTCATCGTTGCCGAGCTCAACGGCCCCGCGAAGAGCAGCTTCGACTTCATGCCATGATCCCACGCCCCGCCCGCGGCGATTGCCGAGCCTCTAAAGCTGAAAACCCAGCCGTCGGATAAGGAGGGTTCGACACGCGTCATCGTTGCCGAGCTACATCCCCTGATGCGGCAGCTCCGACTTCGCGATGCAGAACTCGCCGTCTCGCATCAACCGGGCGCCGAGAGGCGGAGGACATCCGCCGAAGGAGACATCAAGTCCAAACGCAATTTCCACAACGACGCCCAGAAAGGTGCGGGCGCCGAATGCGTCGCCGTCGCTTGTCCAGAAAGGACCGGGTTTTCACCCGTGGAAGACATGGTCAGGCACAAGAACACGACGCCTCCAACAAGGAAAGCGGCGCCCACACAGCGGCGCCGTCGCCAAGGCTTTTCGCCCGAGGTGCCCCTAGCACATACGCCGAGCCAAGATTTGGACCGTAGCTTCGCCGCCACCGTCGCCGCCATCGCCATCCGCAGAAGCTTCTCCAGAGGGGCATCGACGCGCGGTTGCTCACGAGAGCCGTGACAATTGCGTCGGCCGCCCCCCTCCGATCGGGCAACATGCGAGCTGGACTTTACTCGCCACGCGCTACCGACTGCCAGACGCCGAAGCCGTCGCCGCCACCGCGTCGCGGCACAGCACCCGCCGCCGACGCCGCCGACCAAAGGCACGCCGCCGCCAACACCGCCGAAGCGCGAGGGAGAGAAGAGCCCGCCCTAGGCCGACGGCCGCCACCGCTGGCGGCCGACGACGCTTGGCGCCCCAAACCCCGCGGATCCGGCGACAGCGCGGCACCATGGACAGGAGCCGCCGCCACCGACGCCCAGCGCCCGCCCAGGCGCTGCCTGTCGGAGATCTACGCGGATCCGGTCCTAGGACCACTGGATCCGGTCGCCGACGCGAGGAGACCGCCGCCGAAGACGCCGGCGCCGCCCCCAGCCTCAGCGACCTCGCCGAGCCCCAGGAAGCCGCACACGAGCTCGTCCTAAAACCACCATCGGCCTCCGTCTCCATCGCTGGCGCCCCATGCCGCTGCCGCCTCGGGAGCACCAGATCTGGCCCTAGGAAGGCTGGATCCGGCTGCCAGGGCACCGGATCTACTGCCTGGAGCCGCCGCCGCCGTCGCTGCTCCCGTCGAAGTCGCCGGCGAGGTCCACGATGGCGAGCAGCAGCCTCACCCGCGCAGCTACCCCTCCTCCGTCGCGCCTCCGCGTGTAGCTACCGCCGCACCCACGTCCTTCGCACTCCTCCGTGCGTAGCTACCGCGCCATGGCCGCCGAGCGCCGTCCCCCACAGAGGACCTCGCACGCCCTAGGCGAAAGGCCTCGCCGCCACCATCCTAGGGGGCCGCACGGGCTTCCCGGCAGCCCCCTCCGGCAGCGGCAAGGGGGAAGGGACGGGAGGGAGAGCTAGCGGCGGGGCTTGGGTGGCCGCCGCCCGAGTCGCCTGTGCGGGGCGACGCGGGGGCCGAAAAGATGTTAGATGTTGTCAATTTAACTAGACAACTAGTCTCTCCCCATATGTAGTGCCAAGAGTCTTTTGAAATTTGATTGACCTGTAGAGTTTGAATGAAATCTTGCAGACTTTGGAACTCTTGAAAGGCTTGCTCAGAGAGGGGGAGGTAGAATTGAGCCTCCAGGGTATTATCTGCCAGAAACTTGGCTACAGAAATATTCTTGTGCCTTGCAAAGGAGAAAAGTCGTGGGAACCTGGTTTGCAAAATATTATCATTCCAAAGGTCAGACAAAAAAGGACCATGGAGCCATCACCAATTTTGCACTCAGCAATTCCCCTAAAGAGGTCACAAAGTTTAAGTACATCTCTCCACCAAAAGGATCCTCTATCAGTAGTTGCATGGGGGACCTGGTCCTGTGGATAGTGAGCATTCCAAATCAGTTTGACCCATGGGATATCTTTTTTGTTGTAGAACTTGTCCAGATGCTTGAGAAGGAGAGCTTTATTTTGAGTTCTAAAATTGATGATTCTCAGCCCTCCTTTGTTTTTGGGCTTTGAGCACTTTTTCCAGGCTACTAAGGGCTTCATTTTGGCATTTGATTCAGATCCTCTCCAAAGACAATGGCGTCTTGCTCTATCAATATAATCAAGTACTGCTGCTGGAACTTGTAAAGTGCACATGGCAAAGTTGGGCAATGAAGAGAGGACAAAATTAACCAATTGAAGCCTTCCTGCATGTGTCAGGAAGTTAGAGGTGGAACTGAGCTTCCTTTCTGTTTTACTCATAATGGATCCAAAGTGTTCTACCCGGGGCTTTGTGGTGCCCAACATCAATCCCAGGTAGGTGAATGGCAAGGATTCCAGATTACAGCCAAAGACTCCGGCTAAGAGCTAAGCCCTTTCCAAAGAGAGGTTTAGTGGGACAAGGCAAGATTTCTTGTAATTAACTCGCAGTCCAGTTGATTGAGCAAAGGATTCCAGCAACCCTTTTAACTTGAACAACTCTCTTTGTGAAGCTCTCAAAACTAATAGTGTGTCGTCTGCGTATTGTACAATTGGGAATTGATCCAGCTCATAAGAAGTTATTGGCAGCTCAAAGAGACCTTGATGATATGCTTTATTGATGATACATTGGATAAGGTCAGCAGCAAGCACAAATAGAAGTGGGGACAAAGGATCACCTTGTCTAACCCCTCTACGACAGTGAAAATGGTTGCCTGGAACACCGTTGAGCAGAATGGAGGAAGAACGAGAATGAAGAATTCTCTCTATCCAATCAATCCATTGCTCAGAAAAGCCTAAGTGCTTCATCATCAAAAGTATTGTATTGTGTTCAATTGTATCGAAAGCTTTTGTCAAGCCCAGTTTTAGGATGATAATCTCTCTTTTGGAATGTTGACATTGGTAGATGTATTCATAGGCCCAGGCCAGTCAATCTTGTATTGTCCTATTTTTTATGAAACCATACTGATTGGTGTGTGTCAAGGTTATTATTCTTTTCTGAAGTCTATTTGCCAAGAGCTTTGTGATAATTTTGAGGGTGCCATTCAATAGTGAGATGGGCCTGAAATCATTAACACTTGTGGGATTATGCACTTTGGGGACCAGTGTGATGTATGAGCTGTTAATGGCTTCCAGGTTCAAAGTGCCATTGAAGAAGTCAAAGCAAAGAGTGTAGATATCCTCTTTTATTATGTCCCAGCATTTTTTTCAGGAAGAATCCATTGAAGCCATCTGGTCCTAGGGCTTTGTCAGGTGGCATTTGTTTGATGACATTGTCTATAACAGTGATGGAGAAGGGCGTTGAAAGAGAATCCAAATCTTCCCTTGTTTGTACC